CTGGGGAGTGTACATCACAAAGCTCTCAGGGCACTGGGTCTGTTGATTCGCGTGGCTTGCGGGGATCGCGCTCCACTGTTTCAGATGGTAGCCTCAGAATTCTTTCAGGGCACCAGGAGATGCCATTCCCACACTCTACGCTTGCTCACGGCCTGCCAGTCTCCCCTCAGGCCCTCTTCCCCATCTCACCACATCCCCTAGTCTCAAGCAGCAGATCTGTAAGCTGTTCGGTTTATATTTCTGTTAATAGAGCTTCCCGTGGGTTCCCGCTGTCCATTGAGACTGAATGGCGCAGTATGGTAAGAGTTCCAGAGGTGAGCAGGCGCCACTACCCACCTAAGCTACTCTTGAGATGGCTTGGCTTACCAAACAGGGTTTGAGAAAGAGACGGTGCCTCCTTGGGGGATGACTCCGACTGCTCTGAGAGTGAAGATCCACTCGGGAGGAGACAGAGTGACATAGAGACATATATCGGTGTCCTTGGTACCGCTCGCAGAGAGAATCCTGCCACAAGAGAGTGCAGAGGGCGAAGGGAGCTGGGAGGAGTCGAGGAGTCTAGTCCATCTCCATTTTGTTTCATTGTTTGCATCATTATCTGACGGCATCTGCTAAGACATCTCACATTTTGCCTTCAGAGAGTGATGACATCTCTCATCTGTATTGTTGATAATGGGGAAAAAAATAGGCCATGTATCTAAGCAGCTTGAATAATGTGAGAGTAAATATCTTCTCTATGTGATCGTGACAGTGAGGCTCTTTAGTGGTCTGCACACTCACGCACACACAAACACACATACTCACAGATATTTAGAGAGATGAAAATTAAGATTCTAAGGAATTTCTATTAACTAGCTACTAACTGACTAACTCACTAGCTGCAGGAGAGATGGCTCAGCAGTTAAGAGCACTGCCTACTACTCCTCAAGAAGAGCTGACTTTGATTCCCAGCACCCATATGGCAGCTCACTACCACCTATAAACTCTATTTCCAGGGGACCCACCGCTCCCTTCTGACCTCCTTAGGCACTATACACATGTGGTATACATGCATACATACACACAAACTTGAAATTTTAAAAATTAACCCCCCAGCTAGTCTGGACCAAATCCTGTGTGTCTTTGGTATTTTAAAGAAGAAAACGCCAACAATAAAGAAAACAAAACAAAAGCCACACCAGTAAGGCAATGCCAACTCTAACTGTGCTCAACATGGGCTCGTTTCCATTTTTCTGCAGGAGGTGAATGATTGTAGAAAGAATGTCTAGAGCAAATCCCCTGCCCCCAGGTCCACTGGATGCTTTATACCTGCGTCGTCCTCTTTCCTAGATTCTACCCACCTCTGTGGCACAATTAACAAAAACCCAGAGACAGAAATTAGGGTTCAACCTGAAGATCAGAAAAGCAAAACAACCATCCACTGGCTCTTACCTCTACCTCAGTCCAAAATGGTGATCCTGCCTCCAGGAATCTCAGAATGAGACTGACTGAGAGTTGTCTCCTCCTGTCTTATATCCCTCTCTAGGGCTGGGATTAAAGGCATGCACCATTACCGCCTTGTTTCTGTGGCAAACTAGTGTGGCTACTGAGATTAAAGGTGTGTGTCACCACTGCCTTGCCTGTAAGGCTGACCAGGGTGGCTGTTCCACTCTCTGAACTCCAGGCCAGCTTTATTTATTAAAGTACAAGTGAAATATCACCACACATCTCTCTTGGTCTTCTTTGTTTCCCCACCTCTGTTCCCTTGTACAAGTTTTCAAAGAGGACACAGTTAAGGGGCAAGGTGCCCCAAGAAGGCCCACAACAGACTCCATTCGAGGCACTAGGGAATGAGTAAGCCTTTCATGGTTCCAGGACAAGTGAGTCATCAGACAAGGGGTGAGAGTTGTTTAACTATCCTTCTGACAACAATCGTCTGGGTAGAATAGTTAATATCATTATGATAAGAAGAAAATAGAGATTCTTAGAAAAGAGTAACGATGGGCGAGGCATTAAAATCGAATGCTCTGAGCTGTGGGTGGTGGTGGTGCACACCTTTAATCCCAGCATTTGGGAGGAACAGCCAGGCAGATCTCTGTGTGTTCCAGACCAGCCTGGTCTACAGAGTGAGTGCCAGGACAGACTTCAAAGCTACAGAGAAATCCTGTCTCGAAAAAAAAAAAAAAAAAGCGAATTCTCTGTCTGTTTCCTGTGCTCTCTGAGAACAGCAAGCAAAGGAAGATGTGTCAGATTTAGCACAGGCTTTCCTATGCATGTTCTCAACAACTGAGCCTTTAACAAATTACTTTCTCAAAGATTGAAAAAAAAAAACATTCAAGTGTTTTCATCAGAAAACCGAAGATTAAGGAGCAGGAGCGGACAGACTGAAGTGAGCGCTGCCTCAGAAATGCAGCTCCTCCTCAGAAGCCATCCACCTTGTTTTTTAACAATGTCCCTCTCTCATTGGTACTTGGAGTTTGCCAATTAGCCAAAGATGGCTGGTCAAGGGATCTATAGGGATTCGTCCATGGTCCCCCTCCTCAGTTGAGAGTACAAGCTTGTACTATAATGGCTATACCTGGTTTACAAAGGATCTATAGATTTCTCTACTTATTTAATTTATTTACTGTTTGTATGTGTGAGTCTGTTATATATGCACCATGTATGTGCAGTGCCCACACAAGCCAGAAGAAGGCATTGGATTCCCTGGAACTGGAGTTACAGGTGGGTTTGAGCTACCATGTGTGTGCTGGGAACAGAACTCAGGTCCTCTGGACTAGAATTTAAGCATCTTAATACCAAGCCATCTCTTCATCCCCTAATGTGTCAATTTTAAGCATACTCTGCAAATTAGAGTTTTATTCAAAGAATCTGCCAGCAATATTTCCGCTATGAAAGGGTCTCAAAAGTTTCAAAATGGGCTCGTCAACACCAAATTCCTAAAAATTTTTATAGGCTTGGAAAGGAAATCCAAATGAAGAAAGTTGAACATAGTTCACTGAAAGAATTTGAAGATTGATTTTTTAACTTCAAATATGATCTGAAAAGACCCTTTGGGGCATGTTAGTAAAACAAGCGAGGGCTCAAAGGTTGTTGCTTGGGCCATCGTGAGAGAGTCCCGCTGTCCATCAGCTACGTTTGCCTATTATAGAACCAAGAGGAAACTTAGATGGAAATCAGGGAAATGGAAGACAGAAGATCTGAAGCGGAGCACTGCCATCAACAGAAAGTCACCTCACGTGGAGCCGCAGCCCTTCTCCAACACCAGTCACACAGAAACCGGAGTTCCTGCAGAAGAAAGGAGAGTGTGGAATAGAAATAATGAGCAGACTCCAGCATTATTTGATAATCTAATTAATGAGGTGGAGTGACTCACCTAGGACACCTAGGAGAAAAAGATTTCAGTTCTGTCTGATTTGAGATAAAATCCTGACACCGGCAATGATTACGCAAAGCCTGTAAGCCGTTAAAAATCGGAGTCTTCAGCTCAAGATAATTTAAGGCTAGTTAAGACAAGTTGAAATTCTTATAACATTACAACTATAGAAAAATGAAATTTGATGATTCTTTCCCAAACTTGACAATTCCCAAAAAAGTGTATTTCATGCCTACCAACAAGACAGTCATTATTCTCAATTATCTCCAAAGTGAAAAACAGCTGCCAACTGGCCATGCTGAAGAACAGATTGGATCGTTTTGTTATTTGATTACTTTCATAGACATGTTACTTTAAACCATTATGTAAATAGATGCTCCGAGATATGTGTTTTAAACATGAGAGCTCGTACTGCAGAAGTGTCAGGCAGTTCCCTCACAAGAATTGTTATTTAAATTTTTTGTTTCATAACATTTATGAATATTAAAGAATTTTAAATTGTTGTGATTTATTTCCACATTTTAAGTATTCACTTTCACAACATTTTTTTTTTAAAAAAAGTCTTTCTCTTAAACAGGCATTCTAAATTTTATAAGCTACAGGCTTGTCTCTTGTCACCAGTGTTTGATCTGAAGGCCATCGCCATATCTACATGGTATATATACATACATACATACACACATACACACACACACACACACAGAGTCCTGCAAGGTATGGGCTTTATGTCTGCCCATTAGCTGAAGGACAAATGTTTGTAGCTTTCTGCAACCCTCTCTCTTTGAGTCCAGTCAGCTGGCAGGATACTTTTAACTATGTCCTTAGCAGCCTGAGGCAAGAGATTTTCCTCAATACACAAATTTGCTTCAAAATGCAATCCCCCATTTTCTCCCAGAGATAGTGCCTGCTTTGTAGCCAGAATAGGAGGAAGCAAATGTCTTCCTTGCAAAGCAGGGAAAATATCATTACAAATTCCTGAGTCTGGGTTGTCCCAAGGTAGTTTTTGGAGAAGTTCGTGGATTTTTGTGAGAATTTTACACATGGATGGTAGAAGCCTGCCTGGGTGGCTCAGGTGTGGGATTCCAGTTCCTCAGGAGGCCAAGGCAGGGCGATTTCAAGTTCAAGGTTTCATGGGCTACCTGTGGTGCAGCCTGGGTGACATAGTGAGACTGTCTCAAAATGAAAGTAGGAACGGGGCTTGGGATATAGCTTAGTAGTGAGTGGAGCGTTTGATTGGCAAGTGCAGGGCCCTGAGTTCAACCAAGTTTTGAAAGCAAAGAAACAGAAGTGGCTGCCAGGACGGCTGGGAGCGAAAGGGAACTAACCCTTGGTCCCGGCGAACAGACACTTTGGAGAAGGGATATCACTTTTCCCTTGGTTTCTAGGGTGGCTTAGTCCTAGCATCAGAAAAACGACGCGGGGAAAATGACCTCAGAAAATCCCTAATTCTCTAAATAAGCCCACACATTAAGGAACCAAGCAACAGGGAGGACTGGAAATGTTATAAAGTACAGTAAGAAATTCTCAGAACAATTCGTTTTTTTTAAAAAAAGGAACTAAGCAACTTGTTGGGAAGACAGAAAATATACCAAAGAATACAATTCTGAAGTGAGACTCATGAAATCGTCTTTTTATTACAGGTCAATATGACTACTCCATGTGATTGAGAGTGTCACAATGGGATTGCCAATACTGCTGCATGGCTCAACGCATGTGGCTGTAGGGCTGTTACTTTTTTTTCTGGCTAGCCAGTCCTTCACCCAATGTGTGGTATTAGTATAGGTCACATACCGGGATGATACAGGCAAGATGTCTCTCGGTCACCGTAATAACCAGTGGAGTCAACTATGCTGTGCATCTCTACAGGAGGCAGGTAGAATTAGAGTGTGACGTTCAGCAAATGTCCCGTCTCACTCACAAATCCCGGAAATTGTTACAGAAATCAATTTAGGCTTGGGTCACTAAAAAATATGTCCAGAGGAGGTCAGAGCTTGAATTAGACTCCCAAAGGTGGCCAGGGGTGTGCGTGTTCTTTCTTTGCTCTCCGCTAGCAAAAGTGGACAGGCTGAAATGAAAATGTTGGGTTTAGGCAAAGAGGAGAATGAAAACACAATAGAGCAAGATGCAATTTGTAGAAAGGAGGAGGGGAAGGGAAGGTGGCCTAGGAGGTGACAAGTAAAAGAAAAGGAAATTTAGAAAATAGATTGACAGCCACAGGAGTGCTTACGGAGTCCTGGATTCCATTCGGAAGGAAATACCCATTTCTGGAAGACCCAGGATGGAGTGCTTCTGAGGGGCCCACTGGGAACTGGCTTCTGGCATCTGGACTTTGTTCCAGCCGCTAGAAATGTGCCCGCGACCACTGCTGTGTGCTGCAAGCGAAGCTTTCCACAGCTGTCCGAAGGGTAGACGACCAACCTCACCCTGTCTTGGGAAGGAATCAAAACCGTCACAGGGAGAGTAATTGGCCTGTGAACACGTGGTATTTTTGTTTTCATTCATGCGTTCTAAAAAATATCAGATTACGAGAACAAGCGTGAAAGTCCAGGGAGCAGGACAGCATCGCTGTTGAGAACTGGTCCCAGGTCTTCCTCGAGCTGCCTGCTCTAGGGACCAGAGGTCCCTGGTTGCTCCTTGCACAGCCCTGTTTCCTGTGTGTTCAGGTCACACCCTCCCCGGGCTGTGAAGCCCATCGTCTCACCGCTATAAAAGTTCGCCCTACCCTCATATTCTGGGTCATTGAGGAAGAGACAATGGGTGAGGACAAGAAGGATGCATCCACAAGAATAGTAATATTGAAAAATAAATAATACTACAAGTGGTCACGAGAACTCCCAAAACATAAAGCTACTTAAGAAGAGGGAGAGAAATGGATGCTGTTTTCCTTTTTAGAGAAGCTGGGTTTGTCAGCGCTATAAAATAATTTTGTATGGGGATTATTCGTTTGTCTATCATCTTTTCTTATGATCTTAAAAAAAACACCATATGCTTCAAAAAAGAACCCCAAAGTCCTCAAATCTTCCCTAGCAGCCAGACCCCCCCCTCTCTCTCACACACACACACCCATGCTGTACAATTCAGCCTTTAATTACATTCACCTGGTTCCCTATTGTTTCCCCTTATCTTCCTGCACTAAGACAGACCTTAAGCTCCCTGAAGGCAAGAATTCAGCCTTCTAGTTGCTCCCAGCACCCAGACCGCAGGTCCCCAGCAAAGGCTGCTGAGTGGAACCGGGGGGTGGGTGGGGGTGGGGGTGGGTTCAATGTCCGTCGGTGGTGTGGCTTTTGAGCTTTTTGCGCAGCTCTGATCGGCAGTCCACGGGGGCCACCTTCTCGTCCCCTCACCCCTAAGCCGCCCTACATCGCTGCTATTCCTCGCTGCGGCCAGGAGGAGGCGCCACGGACTCGGGATAAGCTTTTCCCACCCCCTTGCTACCCCACTTCCCCCAGCTCATGACGTGAGAAGCAGCCTCAGCCAAGAGAGTCTTAGCAGTAGGAGTGAGGGGGTGATGGAGGGGGTTTGGGGGTGGGGAGGGGTGGGGGGTGGTGAGCAAGAGGACGCGCGTGCACACACACCCTGCCTCTTAGGTTTCTCCTCCTGAGCCCGAGTGTGAGAGGTAGGGTGTGTGTGTGCGTGTTTGTGTGCGCGCGCGAGCGCGCGCCTGTGTGGCACGTTCCTGAGTGTGAGACCCAAATCAAGACCAAGACCTTTGATGTCCCCGCCCTCCCAGCGTCGCCGGTGATTAATACCCATTTTTCTTACTCTCCCCCTCCTCCCCTGCTTTTCCTCTCCTGCTGCCGAACGTTTGACTTGCCCCCGCCTGCTTCCCCTCCCCCGGCTCCCATCATCACCAACTGGAATCTGGGCTCTCCTGCCTCTCCACCCCCCTCTTCTCTTTTTTGAGAAAGGAAGGTCCTCCCCCACCCCCTTTCCAGCACCACTTCCTTGGGCTCCTTCACCTCTAGGAAATCTCAGGGCTTGGCTCTATGGAGAAGCGCTCCTCGGGTCAGGCTGCCTCTCCATCCTCGGCATCCAGCGGGGCTGGCGTCCGAATGCATTTCCTTCGGCTCTGCAAAGAGTCCTAGTGAACTTCCCAACCCCGGAGACTGATCCATCCATCCTGCCTTGCAGGAAAGGGAACCCCTCAAACCTCAACACCCTCCTCGCCTCTCCGGACACTGCCACCGCGGAGGCTCTCGGAGCCGGTACGTAAAGGCTCGCTTTGGAGTCTCAATTTTGGGGATTTGGGGAAATCAGGCAGATAAAGGGTCGAAACCTTGGCACCGTTAACCAACCTGGTGTTGGGTAGAGCTTTTCCATCCAGCAGCACCGGGCACTTGATATTTTGGATAGGGCTATTTTTTTTTTTTTTAACAAAAGGATATTTTGGGGAAGAGACAAGGGGGTAGGACTGCCTTTGATCTTTCTGAGGGGGTTAATTCCTTCTAGTGGAGAGGCTGGGCAGCGGTGCCCGCGGCGGGAGCCACGCGCTGCGACCCTCCAGTCCAATCCACTGGCTGCAGGTGCAGCCCGGTGCGCTGCACATCAGCGCGGCGGCGGCGTGAGTGTGCGCGGGGGTGAGTGTGAGTGCGCGCGGGGGCGCGTGCGCGTCGGGGGCGTGTGTACGCGCGTGTCAGTGTGCCCCTTCCAAGAAATGCCCAGTGTGCGGCCGGTGCACAATCAGAACCCATTGAGCACGAGCCCGGGGTGGGAGGAGGCTCTACAGCCGGAGGAGATGAAGAGAGCGAGCCAGACATGTCAGCAGCATTGCAGATGGGGCTGGGGGCCGCACTCGCTGGCGAGTTAAGTGGGGATGGTGTGCGTGTGCGCGCGCGCGAGTGTGTGAGTGTGAACTGCTGTGTGGAGCCTCCTCTCCCTGCCTTCCTCCTTGCTTCCCACTTCCCCCTTTCCCTCTCTTCCATTCAGGTTGGCTTTCCCCACCTCTCACCCATGCCCGTCCCAGGAATGGTATAGGCAGACCTTTTCTGAATTATTTATAGATTGGTGCCAGCTGTTTTCAATTCCTCTCGCGTGCACTCTGTGGGAAATGCAGGGTTTCCTCCCCTCTTTCTTATAACGACTTGATATATACATATATATTTTTCCGGCATGCATTTTGCTCACCCTCCGGGGGACACGCGAATCAAACCCTGACCTCCTCTTTTTCCCCCTTAGGAAGGGGACGCTTTGGGAATGACCATGCTCCACGGAGGGACGGAGCCGACCCCGAGCTTCTGCACACAGAGACTCCTCTACTAAAGCTCCAAAAATTTAAAAAAAAAAAACTGTAATTGCCAGAAGACTTAAATATATATATTCGGGCCACTAACCTCACATGCACATGGAATAATGACTCTGGATTCTGCATTGTGAGCTGCTTTCCACACCCTGAGATCCCCCTTTGCATTAATTTTTTCTTTGAATTTGCATCTCTTCAAGACACAAGATTAAAACCAAATTTACGCTACATTGGATTTTAAATCTCTTCCGTTCCTTTATCCTCCGTCTTTCTTATGTGGATATGCAAGCGAGAAGAGGACCCTGGATATTCCCAACATGCTCTCTCCCTTAATCTGTCCGCCTAGAGGTTTGGCTTCTACAAACCAAGGTAGGGCACATTCTATTTTATTCTTTCTCCTCACCTGGGGTAGGGATGCTTCGTTTTTGTCTGTCTTTTCCAGTCCCCCAGATGGTGTTTTTTTTTTTTCTGGAAAAAAAATAGCATGCTATCAAAATAATGTTGTTTGGGGGTGAAAGACTTCTTTCTGTGACAAAGAAGGGGATCTCCAGGTTATTTCTTTTTCTTCTGTCATCAAACAGGTTTTTGTTTTTTGTTTTTTCTGGGAAGGTGGTGGGGGTGGGTGTATGCAGGCACACAAGATGTTGGAGGGCGTAAGGGGTGTATGTCTCTATGCAGACACAGCCAGCCAGGACCTGTATGCTTTGCTTACTTAAACAGCATTTTATTCACCCAGAGCTAATGTTAAACCTTGATGGGCATCTAGATATTTTTCTCCGAGCTGAGTCTTTTTTCCTGCCATCTTCATTTCTGTTTTTTCTGTCTCCTGTCTTTACCTTTGCATGCTCTGGAAAAATAAATAAATACATACATACATAAATACATACATACATGCATACATAATGGTTGGGATTACTAGGGCTATTGCCCTGAAAGCTATTCGGTGTCTGAAGAGAGGGTTGACACTAGGCCCACAGACCCCAGGAGCCCTATTGCAGAGGGGCAGGTGCAGAGGGGGACCTGCTTGGTCTTAGAACACCTGGATTCTGCAGACTGAAGACTTCAACCTTAAGCTGGAAGAGAAGGGATCCTGTCAACATTCTGCTTTTCATTTGTATCTTTCCCCGTGAGCTATTCTTTCTGAGCTGTAAATTTCTCCTTCTGTCCACACATCTATTTATACCCACACATCCTCCAAGCAAACTGTTACTTCCACACTCTCGCAAAATGGCTATCTTGCAGAGTTCTAAAGCGCCGTGCATGTGGAAGGGGTGCAGAACCCGACACGTGAGTCTTTGTGTTAAACAAAGAGATGTGCTGCTCGCGTGTGTTCGTCCTGTACCCACAAAAATAGATTTGATATTTTAATTTTTATCCTCTCATCCATTTTAGCACTATTTGAGATGGTTCTACATGTGAAATATGTATCACATATATAATACATCTATAAAAAATATAACAGTATGTGAACTGTTTCCAATCTCTTGGGCAGCATTTGACAAGAGAAAGAGCAGGAGCAATGGAAGCAGCTTAGCTAACAGCCCTTCTGCTGGCCACTCAGGTGAGCCAAGGCAACTCTTGAGAAAATCAGATCATCCCGGGCTTGAGGGCCAAGATAGGGGTCTGGCTGCTCATCACCTTTCCACAGTGACCACATACCTTCCAAACTCCAAAGATAGTCTCAGGCGGGAGTGAGGTTGGGAAAAGGTCTTCAAAAATATGGAGCTGAGCCATGGGCATTCAATAGTCCTCCTCCAAACACATCCCCCCTCCACCAAGTCATTTCAAAAAATAATCATCCTTTAAAAACAATCTAAAAATACGAAAGGGTTGCATGGGAGGTAGTGGAAGGTCCTTGGTGGTCACTCCAAATGACAGTAGGCGATGGTTCTTTATTGTCCAGTTAAGGATGGATAAGGACACCTTCTAAATCTACTGCCCCTCTCCCCTAGGCCTCTCACTCTCTGAGCTCTCATTGCTGGAACACTAATCTGTAACCATGGTGTAATGCGAGGGAGAGGGTGGGATCCCAGTTTGAACCAGGTTCTCACCATGTCTACAAATAGCTGAGGTTATCTGGTGTGTGCTCACCTTAGAGACACCTGAGCTGGTTCCCTATCTACGTCTCACCCTCCAAGTGGGAGGATGAACTCTTAATTTCACTTCAAAATAGGAAAGAGGAATGGGTGAGGATGTGAGCTCAGTGTGCGGAGAGTTCGGATGCACGGACGGACGAAGAGAGGCGGGTGTCGGCGGGGCACACGGCTTCTTCCTTGGCACCCTGGTTGCCTGTGGCAGTGCTCTGAAACTGAGTAGGTCTTGGGAATGTTCCCCAGTGATAAGATCAATAGGGGGTTTGGGAAGGATCTCAGCCAATTCCTTCATCATGCACGTCAATAGATGAAGTCAAGTTCCAAACTGTCACTGTTGGCCCTGACCCAGGCACTAGGCAAAGGAGAGGAGGTTAAAAGGGTGGAGTGTTGAGGAAGAGAAAGCTAGAGAGAATTGAGAGGTGATCCAGGTGGAAAAGTCTTGCTAGGGGTCGAGGAAGCACTGCCACAGGTGTCCCGAGGTTACTTGGAACTCAAAGCCATTTTGGGGACTCTGGTGAGGAATCTGGGAGTCCCGTCACTGTGAGCAGTGCCCATGCCTCTGTGGTTCAGTGACATTCTGGGTCTTCCGGAGGTCATTGTTCTGGCTCTCTTCCCTTCCCATCATAAAGAACTGATTGGGTTCTTCTTTGTCTTCTTGCCTTTTGGCATCACCCTTGTGGCGCGGGTGGCATGGGAAGTAGTGACCCTGCTGTTGGGAAGAAGGACAAATTGGCTTGTGATCAAAGAGCCTATGACTGGTAACTAAGGAAAAATTAATAGGACATGACCACTTCTCAGGAACGCATGACCAAGGATGTGACTTTGACAGGAGAAGAACCACTTGTGGTTCTTGTTCTCGGTTCCAGGTACGGCGGTGCATGATGGGCCAGGGAACAGACCGGCATGGCAGATGACAGTGTGCAGAGAGAGAAGCAGGGCGTGCCACTGGGCTAATTTCTCTCTCTTGTTGGTTCCCGGTCCAGGAAGCCTGCCCATCTGCAGGTTCTTGGCTGTGCGATCTTTGTCAGGGGTGGATGTAGGTAGGCAGAAAACGTAAGGAGGGAAAGCGACAGGGGAGGAGGAGGAGAGACTTCGCATGCCAGGTACTGGGTTTGCAAAGGCTGGCTAGGAAGAGCGACTTCTTCTGGAGGGAGGGTGAACAGCAGGGGACCTTGTCCCTGGGCTTTTCTTTCATCTCCAGGAAGATGGTCATTTCCACAGTGACCACATACCTTCCAAACTCTGGCCATTTTCTCAGACCTTCAACATCATCCAGCCGGGTGTGGGGAGGGTCAATGGCCACCTTGGAGAGAAACACAGGGATAGAGGATAGGGTAGAGCTAGAGGACCGAGTGACTGCTGCTTGATGGGAGGAGCAGGACCGAGTGGATCCAGGGGCACAGCATCACCTTTGAAGGGACTTTCCATCTGCTGTATGACTATGATGAGTCCAGGGTCAGGATTTCTTCCCTCTAATGTCCTCTTCAAGAACCAAACGAAGGTAACATCTTCAGCAGTATTGACAAGCTACTGCAAACATTTAGTTAATGCTCGTGGGCTATGAAACACTGAAGGAAGTGGGGGAAAGGAAGTTGGACGGGAAGAAGCCCTGACCTCAAATTAACATCTAGAACCGGAGAAGAGGAGGAATCCAGGGCTGACCTGGCCATTGTGTACATTGTAAGCAGGTGTTCCAAATGATGGGCCTCTGTCTTTAACAAGGAAGCTGGGAAATGACCTCCAGCTCATCTCGGGTGTCCTAATAGGGGTCAAGAGTAGAGGCTACAGAAGTTAGGATGTCCCCCTTTTTCCTTGCCATATTACATTCTCCTGAAGAATTAGTTCCTTTCAGTGAACTCCATTTTCAGTCTCCATGACCCTTCCTATGACTGGGTGCTACTGCACCACTCCTCTGTAAACAAAGATAGACCAGAAGAGTGGCTGGCGTAATGAATTGTTTATGTTTATTAAAGCGCCTCTCCTCTTCATAACCGTGGAGGAAAGCTCCAGGGAGAGGAGATTAGTGGTTGAACTGGCATTATCTTCCAGATGGGAACAGAAGAACAGAATGCAGTCAGTAGAGGGAGCACGCAGAACTCAGAGGAGGTGGGTTCCTGAGGTCTAGATGCAATTAGATGCGATGCCAGCTGCCTGTCTGTGACTGTTCCTCCCATCCACTGGGCAGATGAACTTTTTTGAGGTTTGCAGACCAGAAAGGTGTG